GAGACAAACTTTACAGAGGAGAGACAAACTTTACAGGAGAGACAAACTTTACAGAGGAGAGACAAACTTTACAGAGGAGAGACAAACTTTACAGAGGAGAGACAAACTTTACAGGACAAGACAAACTTTACAGAGGAGACAAACTTTACAGAGAAGAGACAAACTTTACAGAGAAGACAAACTTTACAGGAGAGACAAACTTTACAGAGAAGACAAACTTTACAGAGAAGAGAGACAAACTTTACAGGAGAGAGACAAACTTTACAGAAGAGAGACAAACTTTACAGAAGAGACAAACTTTACAGAAGAGAGACAAACTTTACAGAAGAGACAAACTTTACAGGAGAGAGACAAACTTTACAGGAGAGAGACAAACTTTACAGAGAAGAGACAAACTTTACAGGAGAGACAAACTTTACAGGAGAGACAAACTTTACAGAAGAGAGACAAACTTTACAGAAGAGACAAACTTTACAGAAGAGAGACAAACTTTACAGAAGAGACAAACTTTACAGAAGAGACAAACTTTACAGAGAAGAGACAAACTTTACAGAAGAGACAAACTTTACAGGAGAGAGACAAACTTTACAGAAGAGACAAACTTTACAGGAGAGAGACAAACTTTACAGGAGAGAGACAAACTTTACAGGAGAGACAAACTTTACAGAAGAGACAAACTTTACAGGAGAGAGACAAACTTTACAGGAGAGACAAACTTTACAGGAGAGACAAACTTTACAGGAGAGACAAACTTTACAGAAGAGAGAAACTTTACAGAAGAGAGACAAACTTTACAGGAGAGAGACAAACTTTACAGGAGAGAGACAAACTTTACAGAAGAGACAAACTTTACAGGAGAGAGACAAACTTTACAGGAGAGAGACAAACTTTACAGAAGAGAGACAAACTTTACAGGAGAGAGACAAACTGAAGTAAAAACGGAGCAGAGACTCTGAACTCTGGACTAAAGTCAGTCTTGGTTGGAAGGTGAACTTTGTCGTCTCTCAAACTTTAACCTGCTGAAGACTAAAGCTACGTTAGCTAACCTGCTGAATGTTTTAAAGTGACATGCTAACCGCTAACGAAGTGAAGTCAACTCTTTAACGGCGAAAACAAACGACCTGTCGTCCTTCACTGATCAAAACCACGTAAAATAAGGTTAAAGGTCGTCACACACCAGGGTCGACGCGAACATGGAACACGGAATTACGAAATATTCAGAGGAGAATTTTGACGCACCTGACTGTACACATCAAATCTGATGTGATTTTACAACTTTCTATGGGGGAAAAGACACGTCCGAATGAGGGCGGGGCCAAACTGATTGTTTTCCAGATCTGATTACACTAGTGTACACGAAATCTGATTGGTCAGAAGTGGACACACAGTCTGTGAAACTTTAGAAAATTTAACCGTGAAACGAAAAAATAAAAGCCGAAAAACGTCGCTGATGTGAACGCTTGTATTGACAGGATACGGGTTTGAAATAAAAATTGACGTCTGAAATAATCACACGAAAAAAACGCTCTCGGTGTGAAATGACCTTAATTCTGAGTTTTCCGTGTTTTTTTTTTATTTAAATCAGCTTTAATAACTTTGAGGTTTGATTCTTGAATTTCGGCCTCTCAGACGATCAGGTGTGTGTTTCTGGTGTGTTCTCCGCTCTCCTGTATCAGACTGAGTCGATGTAAATTTGACCACCTCAGATCCGTCCCTCTCTAAAATCTCCTCCCCTTTCGCTGAGCTGTGACCTTCTCTTTCTTCACTCCGACGGTAAATTTCTGCTTTTTCTTTTGTTGCTTCTGGACGGGAAGTTTCCCGATTTCCGATTTTCCCGGGGTGTCCTGAAGTGCGCGCTGAGAGCTCTATTGTTTTAAAGTGCTCCTGTGTTAAAAGACAAGAGAAACTTTGATTTGGAATTTGTGTCAAAAAGAAAGAATGAAAGAGGAACAAAACTTCAGCGCTGATAACAAAGAGGTTTCATAATATTCCCTCAGCTTTTATTGGAAAAACATCCACCTCTGAAGTCCACGCTTCCTGAGAGACTTCCTCCAAAGCAGATTTTCAAACCCGGCTACAATGAAAACGCTTTGTTCTCCGTCTTTGTAACGCTGCTGCTCTCACTCAGTGTGGGCGAGAGGGAGAAAAATAACAACACCTCCCAAAAAAAAGGAAATGGCAGATTGATGAAAAGCCAAACTAGTCCCCGGACGCCGCGCTCTTCTTCTGCACGATATTAAAAACTCCCACACGTTTCAGGAGGAGGGCAGAATTAGCCTTGCCGGGACGCACTGTAAGAGCCGTAATGACTCATTTGTTTCATCCTGATGGATGGCGCTCTGGATGGGAGAGGACCTCGTTTAAGGAGCGCCGCAGACGGCGATGAAAGGCGGCGGGCGAAGGACGACTCCACGATCACGGAGAAGGTCTTCAGCTCGCCGCTTCAAAGCGACTTGGGCCGGCGGGGTTGCTCTGAGGGGTGACGAGGAGAAAATAAAATCCTCTCAACAAGCAGCCAACACTTACACACACACACACACTAACACACACACTCACACACACACACGTACACACGCTCACACACACACGTACACACACTTTGAAGGAGGGCAGGTGGTGCTGATGAATATTCAGACGGAGAGTCGGCGCCTGGCTGCCAAACTAACCGCCTGTTTGCTTTCTGTCACCTTCCAACTTCTGATAGATTTGTTCTTCCTCCCGCAGGATCAGTGTGTGTGTGTGTGTGTGTGTGTGTGTGTGTGTGTGTGTGTGTGTGTGTGTGTGTGTGTGTGTTTCAGAGCCACACACAGGTTCAGGTGAGGCTCAGGTCAGCCACAGGTCACCTGGACCTGAACCAGACATCCTGAATATCTTTGACCTAAATCCAGCGGATTGGACTTAGGCTAAACGTCCCAAGTAAGTCCAACTGTCCTTTCAACGTAGAGCTGGAAATCATAGATGCTGCATCCTCAGTTTTAGACAATATCTCCAGATTTAGGAGCAACATCTACGTCCATCCAGCTGAGGAGTCCGGCGATCCTCAGAGGAACGGAAAGAAGTCGGTGTAAATCGACACGTTAACTTGAATGGTTACGATCAGCTACGATCGGAGGATACGACCTTTTAGGAGACGATCAGGATGAAGGTGGAGATCGGGGGGTTATAAGGACCAGGAGCACAACCCTCAGGACAGTTTCCTGTTTCTACTAAGGAACATGGAGAACATGGAGAACATGGAGAACAGGTCCAGGTGAGATCATCCTGATCCGCTCATCCTGTCCAGATATAAAAACATCAGATCTGCAGTCAGGTTCATGGTGGGCCTCCTCTGCTCAGGAGCTCCTCTCTCTGCTGCTCAGAGCTGAGCTGTGCTCTCTAATCCTGACTCTGAATCCTGACCACACACACACACACACACACACACACACACACACACACACACACACACACACACACACACACACACACACACACACACACACACTGGCCTGGTACCTGAGGCAGTCAGAGACCTGGTCTATATTAGAGGATTTACGGTAATTCTGTTGGAACATTTTGAACAAACATGATAACAGTCATGAAATCTACATCTACAGGATTCAGAACATCCACAGATTTCTCCACCAGAGAGCTGCAGGCGTCTGAGATGTTTCACTTAAACACTGAAATAAGTGTCCAACACTACAGACTCAGACCTCCTCCTCCCACAGACGCTCCCCTCTGCTCCTCTCCGCTCCTCTCTGCTCCCCTCTGCTCCTCTCTACTCCTCAGGTTCATCTCTCCTCCGTTAAATCTCTCCCCGGAGGAGCGTCCTGTTGCTCCTCAGAGATGCTCGCTGCTTCCCACGTTCCTCACATCCTCCGTGGAGCGGTCGAGCTCTGACAGACCAGCTGCTGCTGCAGGACCGCCGACCACACTGAGCGCAGCAGGCCACCGTACCCACGCCATCTGTGAGGAGCGAGGTGAGCCGCTCCAGAGATTACAGCGGATTTTAGACCAACTGAAGGTAAAACACACTTTTTATAACAGCAACATGAAGACAGAGATCAAGATCTGTGTGACTGAACAGGTACGAAAAAAGAGACATAATCTGGGATTGAGACCATGATACAGTCCTCAATCTGACGTAAACAGGTGAGTTTAATCCTTAATCTGATATTAACAAGTGAGTTTAATCCTTAATCTGATGGAAACAGGTAAATTCAGTCATTAATCTGATATTAACAGGTGAGTTTAATCCTTAATCTGATATTAACAGGTGAGTTTAATGAGTTTTAATGATCAGAAACATTTATTTGTTTTATGCTGTTAACACGTTTTTTATATATTCATTTTATTGTAAAGTTGGTCATTTTAACATGGAGCTCTATGGGGACTGGCTCACTACAGGACACGGCCCCGGTGGACACTAGAGGAACTGCAGTTGTTCAGATGTTCTTCTTTATGAGATGTTTCTACTTGATCCTCAGATGATTCAGTTTTTATCAGTTTTTTTTAACAGACATGTCTCTGCTGTTACACACACACACACACACACACACACACACACACACACGCAGTAATCCAGCTGCTGAGCATTAGCGTTTGTGGTTTACGGTCGTCCTGTTAAAGAGCAGCGTGTTGTGTCGGTGCAGAATCATTCAGACTGACGTGTTTACGGTGGAGGTGACGGCGTGTGCAGCATGTGGGCAGCAGATGATTCAGCTCCAGCACGCACACATGCACACATGCACACACGTGCACACATGCACACACAAACACACTCACAGCTCTAACTGGAGTGTAAATTCTACGAGCTGAAATCACTGAATCACATCAGGACACGATGTTTGGTTCTCGTCGGCCGTCATTCTCTAAAACTGAAGTGACGTTTCTTATTTTCTAAAGGCGTCTCGGGGATAAATTAACCCTGATGTCACTTCCTGCAGCTGAGTCTGCTTTTATTCAGCGCAGAGCTGTCGAACCTCAGATTCAGAGTTTCCTCCTGATGATTGAATCCATAAAAGTTATTTTAAAGCTGTTATAGTTTCACGCTCTCAGCTGTCGTCGACGTCAAAAAATGATCGGAGAAAACTTCCTGAACTTTATTCTGCTTTTTAAAAAATCACAGACGGATTTTTCTTGATTTTAAAAAACAAGGAGGCTTTTATTTTGAAAAACAGTTTCTCAAACAAAAAGAAAGTGAGGTCAAAGTCCCAGTTCATATAACCCTGTAACAGGATCCCAGTTTAAACCAGTTCAGTCCCAGTGGAAGATTTACAGCCGACAGGTTTTTCTCTGCAGGGAGAAAGGGCTGATGGGAAATGTGGTTCTGATTAGCAAAAACATGAGTGCTGATCATAAACTGATGCTATAAACTACAGCTCAACTACAGGTCCAGTCAGGACACTGTGTGTGTGTGTGTGTGTGTGTGTGTGTGTGATATAATGACTGATTCAGATCTCGCTCCTTCATACTCTCCACATGTCCTGCGCCGCTCTCTGATAGATGATCCTCGTCTGTCAGCGCTCAAACCCGCTGCAGCTGCGAACGCGCCATGATGTCACGCAGGACGCCGTCTATCTGCTCGCCATCTCCGTCACCTCCTCCTCATGACTTCAGCCTCCGAGCTGCAGGAACATCTGCAGGGAGGTGCAGGGATGATAATCTGACAGATCCTGCAGGAATTAGACAGGATTTAATTTATGTGGCGTCCTCGGCGGAGTCATAAACGCTGAAATGTTACTTAAATAAAGATTTCTCCACGGGGGGAAACCTGCCAAATGTTTCCAACAATCCTGGACGACATCTTTAATTTCATCCAAGATCAGCAGTTGATGTCGTCAGTTCAGCGTCTTCATCCAGGGAAACACGAAACACCGGATCAGAGAGTGAAGGAGGAAGTCAGATAACGCTTCACTCACAGACTGTATTTACTCTGGACAACTTGGCTCCGCCCCCTCGCCAGTTTACGGTTTTGGAGCTGAAAAGTTCTCAGTAATTCTGTGTTTTTTCTCCACTTCCTTAAACCAACTTTGCGCACATTCGGTGGGAGAGTCTCTGTGATGACGCTCGGCTCAAACAGCGTATCCCCCGGTGATCTACTCAATCTCTGTCCTCCCATTGGCTGTATCAGCTGTCAATCATAGAAACATGAACCCCCCTAATAACTTAAAAATGGAGCTGTACAGAAAAAAGAGGACTTGAACACAAACCAGCACCAGAATCCAAAGAACTCAAAAGAAAAACAAATCGTGTTAAAGGAAAAGTCCGTGAAGTTTGAGACGATCAGAGACGTCTGCCTCTGAACCGGGTCTGAGAAACCGGATCATCGGGTCAGCCATGACAGCGGGACTCTGACAGAGGGAGGATCCTGCAGGCCGATCAGATCCACTGGATCAGAACAAGATCAGAACAAGATCTCTGAGACCATGACGTCCGAACTCTCAGCGGGTTTCAGATTCTTCTTAATTGTCTCTGCAGCAACATCTGTCGTCTCCGGAGTCTCTCTGCACGCCGCACGCTGCCGCCGCCGCGGTTCAACGTCCATACAGCAGCCATGTTTTTAATGATGAAACATATGGAATACAGCCGAGGAGGAGAAGGAGGAGGAGGAGGAGGAGAGGAGAAGGAGGCGAGGACGAGGAGAGGAGAGGAGAGGAGGAGGAGGAGAGGGGGGAGGATAGAGGAGGAGGAGAAGGAGGAGGAGGAGTTAGATCCAGGCTGTTCGTCTCTCAGCTGTGACTGAAAAGACAGAAACTCAAACAGGAAGACGAGCTGATCGATAAACTTCAGAGGTTTTGGAGTCAAACTCTAACGTCTCTAAAGTCACCCCGATGACACCATGGATGAGGAGATGCTGATTCTAGAAGTCTAGAAGTAGATTTCCTCCTCTGGAAGGACACAATCTACTGCTTATATGTCTATGTGTCTGTCTTTAGAGAGACGACTCGTTATCGTGAGATTGAACGTGAATCTGCAGGTTCTTGTGAGTTCTCGTGATTACTGCTGTCTGTAATCCGCCACAAAATTCGCCTCACAAACGGATCCGTTAGGAATTGGCAGACGGTGAAAATCGCTGCTGTTCCAGATTCAGTGAAAATTGGCATCAGCATCTCGGTCTGATCGCATTTCCATGAAGTAATAATCATAACTTACTATCCTGCGGTCGTTACTAAAGTTGGTATAACTAGAGAAGAAAGAGGTCGACAACATTCATCTCTGGAGGGGGGGTCTAACTCGGTGTTACGGTGCGTTTGACCCTAAATTAATTTACGCTGGAATATCCCTTTAAGGAGACTCAAAGATGTCGCTCATGCTCTTTGTGAACTTTAGTTCCAGCCTGAATGTTTTTTACAGGAACTTATTTTACTCTGAAAATATGAAACTTGGATTGTTTAAAGTACGCTAACAGATCAGTGACACGGTTCAGCTCTGATCTCTGTGTGAAGGAAGAACAGGGAGGAACAGGGACGCTCGCCGACCACGACCGTCTGATATAAAGGCCTGCCTCCAATAAGAGCCTGGTCTGAGAGCCGGTCTGAGGGAACTTCTGAGGTCTGACGAGAGTTTAGAGTCACTGTCGCTGACTCTGCAGGAGGAGGTGTGTGTCTGCAGGTGTGTGTGTGCAGGTGTGTGTGTGCAGGTGTGTGTGTGCAGGTGTGTGTGTGCAGGTGTGTGTGTGCAAGTGTGTGTGTGCAGGTGTGTGTGTCTGCAGGTGTGTGTGTGCAGGTTTGTGTGTGTGCAGGTGTGTGTGTGTCTGTTGTAGATGTGAAGATCGATTCCTCTGAATTTCTAAGAGTGAACTCGGTTCTGTTCGTCCTACATCTGTGATCCTGCAGGAGACGCCTGCAGAGATTCTTCCTCCCACCTTTGCTGGCCCACATCCCTGTGTGTGTGTGTGTGTGTGTGTGTGTGTGTGTGTGTGTGTGTGTGTGTGTGTGTGACTTCCTGTGGTCTCATTATGTTTGCCCCGTTTCCCTCCAGCGAACATCAGATGTAACAAAACCAGAGGACAAAATAAGAGCATTACTTTTTAAAGACGTGTCCTGAAGACTGGAGACGGTGATGCGCGCTGACAGCGGCTGCTAATTGGAGTAAATTAATTTACCTCGGGCGCCGATGTTCGCACAAAGCGCCGCTCACCGCGTGAATAAGTGATGATCGGCAGCGCCCGTATAAGCCCCGACTTTTTGAATCATTTAACGCCGCAATCTGCTAATTAGCAGGGAGAAAAGCCAGCTTTCAGCCACAATTAAGACAGGCCTCTGTCAGTCAGGGGGGGGGGCGGGGTCTAAGGGGAGCGCTTCATTTATTCATCCTCTGAGCAGATGCTGAGTGCAGCAGGGGTTTGGAAGGAGAGATGCAGGGATGGAGAGGGAGAGCTGAGGGATCTGAGGGGCCTGGATCAGGAGGGTGGGGGTGTTGAAGAAGTTTTCGAACCCCCTCCTCACCCCTCCTCACCCCTCCTCACCCCCCCATCTCTCCCTCTTTTTCTTCTTCTTCTGTTTGTTGGAGCCTCAGAGGAGGAGAGCAGCGAGGAGGGCCCGCCACCAACCAAAACAAAGCAAAACAAAAGACCTGATGGGGGGGGGGGGGGTTACAGGAAGGTGGTGTTAGTGCTTCAGCATCTCCAGGCAAACACACACACACACACACACACACACACACACACACACACACACACACACACACACACACTCTCTGGGAGGGATCCTGTTTCACACGCAGAGTGTTAAGCAGTTGTACAGCCCAAGGTCAAACACGGCCCTGCAGGTTCTCCGGGTCAGAACACCAACAGAACCCCACCACCACCACCACCCTCCACCCAGCAGCAGCTCAGGCTGGCACAGACGCTACTGAGCATGCTCAGTGAGGACCTCCCTTAGAAGAAACAGATCATGTGATGATGGAGATCTTTGTTTTCATCAGAAACACTCAAATAAAAACAAAAACATCAAATATGAGCAGGTCAAAGGTCAGGACTACACCTGAGCAGGTCAAAGGTCAGGACTACACCTGAGCAGGTCAGAGGTCAGGACTACATTTAACATCTGAAACAGGTAAAACAGGTCACTGTGCAAAGGATTTTCATCATTTAAAATCTTTAAATAAAATTTAAAAAATAATAAAATAAAATAAAAATTAAGAAAATAAAACAAATAAAAATAATAAACTAAAATAAATAAAAATAAAGAAAATAAAGAAATAATAACATAAAATAAATAAATAATAAAAGAGAATAAATAAAAAGTCAAATAAAATAAATAAAAATAATAAAATGAAATAAATAAAAAATAATAAAATAAAATAAATATAATAAAATAAAAAATAAAAAAATAAAATTAATAGAATAAAATAAAAAGTAATAAAAAAATGAAATACAAAATAAAAAAATATTTCAAGGACAAAATCTGAAATGTTGAACTTTGATTTTTTTTTAATAAAAGGTGAAAAAAAATCTGTTTGTTCATTTTTTATTTAATAATGATTGAAAAAAGTCAATCCAGTTCATGGTCCTCACCAACCCTCTGTAGACCTTAGTAGACCCAACAGACCAGGTTCTGTAGACTTTAGCGGACCCAGCAGGACTCTTCTCCTCCTGTAGTCCCTGGATGTGGTTCCTGGTGGTGGTCTCGCTGATGTTCTGAGCTCAGTGTCGGTGTTTCCTCTCATCTTCTCTCGGGTCAGAGTACGAACATCTCTTCGTTCAGGAGACCATCAGGACCATCAGGACCATCAGGACCATCAGGACCACGCCGCTCCACTGACTCATGAATAACCATCAGTCCACAGACCGGTAAGTCTCCTCCTCTCTGCATGTGAGGACGCCGTTATTATGCAAACATGCGGCGCTCTGTGTGGGTCATAAATCCTCTGAGCTTCCTGTTTTAACATATTCATCACCACAGTCCGCCGCTGCCGCCGCCATGATGCCGGACGGCGGCGATGCTCGGCTGGATGTCCGGGGCAGGACTCCACGGACGCCTGAGCGTGAATAAATTGACCGGGTCGCAGGAAAAGACGGCGCTCAGTGTCGTAATGAGAGCGAGGAGATGTTCAGGAGGAGATCCCTGAACCGCCACGGTGATCTACTGTACACACACACACACACACACACACACACACACACACACACACAGATTTATGTGCAGACTGACAGCCTTTATTTACAGCAGTGTGTGTGTGTTTTTATTGCCTCTCTCTGTCTTTCAGCTTGAATCTAAACTCTGACTGATGATCACATGACTGATGATCACATGACTGATGATCACATGACTGATGATCAAAATCAGTCAGGACTCTGGAGTGGGAGTCACCGCATGGAAAGGCGAAACGTCTCAAATAAGTCCAGTTGTCCTCACAACGAAGAGCTGGACATCATAGATGCTGCATCCTCAGTTTTAAACAGGATCTGCAGGTTTAGGAGGAACATCTACATCCATCCAGACGAGTGGTGTGTCCCAAATCGTTTACTGCCGCGCGGCGCACTCACTGGAAATGACGACGTGTTTTCTTCTTCTACGCCAACGTGTCACCGGCTAGCTCTGCATCAGCTCATTACCGCCACCTTCTGCCTGCGCTCGTTCATCCACTTTTGAGGTGAAAACAGAAACGAAATGAAAGCTCGTGGCTCATTTTTACGTCTCTGTCTCCTCCTCCTTCTATTGGCTGAAGATGCAGCGGCGGTTTGTGTAGTTTATTTGTGGTCCATTTATCCCCACGGTTCAAACACTCGCCTCCTCTACAGCGAAGGCTTTGCTGATATCGCTGCAGCAGACCTGCTGGTTATTTTTTATTTGCCTCGGGTAACGCTTCAGAACCCGGCGGCTGCTAGCTAACTAGCATTCGCAGTAATGTTCGCTGTAAAAGACAAACAGGTTACACCACAAATATACTCAAAACGACAAACGCCGGCGGTGCTTGGTGGAGAGAACACGTGTAAAAGGAAACTTATTACTTAAATCTGTATGAACCTCCCAGGTCGACCGTCGCCGACCCACAGCCAACCACAGCCGTCCGCAGCCATTCTTACTGATGAAATGAGAGCGGCGAGTGTCCGCAGTCAGATACTCAAAATCTTGACCGACTTGAGTACGTCATCCGGGTTCTTTTGCCTACTCAGTTTTCATGTACTATCCATACTGTTTTCAAGTTTGTGTTGAGTTTACTCAACATGAAAGTACGAGATCTGAGACACACCAGAGGACTCTCACTGTCAGAGTCCAGAACCTGGTCTGCTGGGTCCACTAAGGCAGGGTTCGACTCTAACTTTGTTCACATGTTCTCCTGAGTTAAAAAAGTGAGGAGAACAAAGAACTTTAGGGGATCAATGAAAACTGATCAATAATGTTTGCCTTATTGATCGACCTTAGTACTATTATTAGAAATCAATTTTAGGTCTTTTGGTCACATGACAGTGAAGCTATTGAAGGAAAACAGCCTTTTCTGAGAACATCAACCGGTAATTTATTGACGGTCCCTTATTCAACACCGACGTTGACAGTGAGGGTGTCGAGTAGATTTAACCGCGCTGCTGTTGTTATTCCCGGTTATGGAGAGTGAGAAGACACCGGTAGATCCTCAGAGAATGTCCGTCAGATATCCAACCTGAAACTAACTTCACCGCCGTATTTACAGGAGAATATATCCAACCTGAAACTAACTTCACCGCCGTATTTACAGGAAAATATATCCAACCTGAAACTAACTTCACCGCCGTATTTACAGGAAAAAATATCCAACCTAAAACTAACTTCACCGCTGTATTTACAGGAAAATATATCCAACCTGAAACTAACTTCACCGCCGTATTTTCAGGAAAATATATCCAACCTGAAACTAACTTCACCGCCGTATTTACAGGAAAATATATCCAACCTAAAACTAACTTCACCGCCGTATTTACAGGAAAATATCTCCAACCTGAAACTAACTTCACCGCCGTATTTACAGGAAAATATATCCAACCTGAAACTAACTTCACCGCCGTATTTACAGGAGAATATATCCAACCTAAAACTAACTTCACTGCCGTATTTACAGGAAAATATATCCAACCTGAAACTAACTTCACCGCCGTATTTACAGGAAAATATATCCAACCTGAAACTAACTTCACCGCCGTATTTACAGGAAAATATATCCAACCTGAAACTAACTTCACCGCCGTATTTACAGGAAAATATATCCAACCTGAAACTAACTTCACCGCCGTATTTACAGGAAAATATATCCAACCTGAAACTAACTTCACCGCCGTATTTACAGGAAAATATATCCAACCTGAAACTAACTTCACCGCCGTATTTACAGGAAAATATATCCAACCTAAAACTAACTTCACATTTTCGTTTTTCGACTCTGTGGAGCGTCCCAACAAACTCTGAGTGGTCCGACCTGTGTGTAGGTGGGTCGGATACACCTGTTTGACTCCGCCCCCTCTCCCTCAGTTGAAGTAAAAGTACTGCGGTTGTGTCTTTTACCGCAGTACTCATGTACATGTACATGTGTACATTCCG